AAGTAGTGTATATAACACGTCTGAAAAGCTCCTGTTTTGTTATTTTCAATATTTAATTTTTGGTTGTTTTTAATTGTGCTTAAAGTCATTACTTTTAAATGATCCAATAATTTTCAATGAAACGTCACATTCTCCTTTATGGAACAATAATATATGCAAGAACTATAAGGTAGTTCAAAACCAAAGTAAATTTTATGTTATAAGGCTTTGATTGTAATGCAACTATCTCGAAAGCAATTTTTGTTTTTTCGACAATAGTACACTTGCTGTCGATGGCAGCGCAAACATTATAGTTCATTGCGCAATATTATCGTATAGCTACAGTGCTGCCTAGCGATTTTTGTTTTGCGTCACAGGATCGATACTTATTACTCTTCGCAAGGGGAGCATATTTTGGGAAATTTCCGTAATTAAATTGTCATTAGTTGCACTATTTTGGGTTCAGTATACTAGAAGTGTGTTTTTGAACTGCCCTTTTAAGACAAACACGAAACAATCGGTTTAGGATCAATATCTAAAAAGATTTCCAAAAGGGAGGCAACAATCCTTTATTGGAGTTAAGTGCTCACGAATCGACTGACGGATAAGTTTTGAGAAGCGATCTATCAAGTACGAGTGGAGTTATCAGAATTGGTTGTACGCTTCAACCGCTTTCTCTCTCCTTTCGTACGTGAACTGAAAGCTACGTAGGGAAGGAAATGACGAGGGGGAGGAAGCCTTAGCCGCTCGGGCATGCGTGTCATGACCTTAAGTACTTTTTGGCGGCATCCCGTGGTGGCCGCTGCTCAAATCAGCAAATGGCCTTGGACTTTGGGTCGATGGCGCGATCATTTGGGTCTATGACATTTTTTGAGAGAAGTGGAAACTATTCATTGCCGAAATTAAGAATGAAAATTATTTCCAGGCCGCGTGCTGCGCATTTCGAATGCCAATCGATGGCGTTTTCTGACCGCGGTGAAAAAGTGTTGCAGGACCCTTATAAACGTTTCATCCCAATCGCAGAGAAAAGAAAGTCTACACGGATAAATGTTTGAAACGCAAATTTATTTGCCTACTGGAATGAGGCATGGTCACTCATTATATTTCGCGCTTCTTGGAGTCCAAGCTTGCAGGCCTCGCTGGACAAGCCTTGCCTGGCCAGCCTTTCTATTTTTTCCATTGGCGCATGATCATCTTCAGCTGACAGACGCGTGGGTGGACTCGTACAGAAATGAGGCCATGTAGCACGCGGCGACGCGCAAGGAACCTTCGTAACATGCTGCGATGGCGGAACGTGGCATGCGGCTTTATAGCAATCCTCTGGTACTTGGTGCTCCGAGTCTCCACGTGCCATGACTCGGTGCGCAGTGTCTTCCTCCTCGACTGGCCGCGAGTAGAGCTCGGTTGACGAGCACTGCGTTTGCGTTTCTTCGACGTGCTGGCTGTTGCGGGAGCCAGCTCTTTCTTCACGACCCGGCACAACCCCTTTGTCTGCCACCTGGTGCGCACGCTCGTCGTCTGCGAAGAACTCTTTGATGGATGGGGCTTGAGGCTCGTGTCCTCTACGTGAGTGCTGTCCGACGAGCTGCTAATAACGCGCTTCCGCGCTTTACCCGCGGTGCGGCCTGAGTGCGGCAGTGTGCAGAAACCGCGAAGGGAATCCGAGAGCTTGACTCCATCGCTTTTGGCCGAATGCCGGTGGCTCTCCGAGTGGCGCCGACGCTTTGGACTCCTGTCGGTGCCCGAGATCGCGTGGTTCGACGACAATTTCTTGTGTCTCTTGATCCGGTGGGCTTTCGGAGGCCTGGTTGCCAGGTTCGAGGTGGATGAAGGGTCGATACGAGCATCCAGGTCATTGTGCGGCTTACAGGGGGCCGCAGCGGTGTCGGGTGGGGCAGTCTTCCTATCATTGGGCTTGGTGTTTTTCGCTTCGCCGTCCTCCTCGATGATTTCCCTGCGCTTGGGCGCGGATGCCTCTCGCGGAGAAACGGCGCCATCGTTGTCAGACTGCTTCATCCGTTTCGCCATCGGCAGGGACGCTTCTTGGTCGGAAGCCAGCTGGACTCCGTTCATGATGGCGCCGGTCCTGGCCCTTTCTAAGGTCGAGTTCCCGTTCACATCCACTACCGAACTGCTCGAGTGTCGCAGCCCTCTCGCAGAGGGACTCAGAGGAGCCTGGCGTTGGGCCGGGGCGCGAGGAGCCGGGACTGCTGCGTCAGCTTGATCTGACGGTCAGCCCCTTTCTCGATCCTCGGGCGCCGTTCAAAAAGGAACTGGCTTCGCGTGATAGCGCGTTAAGCGCGTGATGTATCCCAGCTTTATCGTCCTCGGTTTGGTTTCTGGCGCGTTGTTACTATGGGCTTTCGAAGGATTTTAAATTTCGAATAATGAATCGAATAGCATTGTTTTTGATTGGGGACTTTAATTGAATAACGCACATGTATATAATCAAATATTTTTCAAATGTTTTTCGAATAATTAGCACCAACGGGAAAACCCCCAAAAGCAAGGTGGTAAATCTAAAGATAATTTTTCTATTTTTCAATTAGCGGATTGCAGAGTTCTGTGCAGTTAAAACTTTTACAGGACTATCGAAGGCTTACTCACTAACGGATGAAGGAGGAGAAGGAAGGATGGATGTATAAAAACTTTTATTGGGGTCCTGAAGGATTCCAGCCCCATTTTATAGAGGTAGGATCGCGGGCCGCTCCCACGTAGGCACGGGGAGGCCCAGCCTCACAGCCACATCATGGACCTTCTGGGCAGCTTTGAGTTGTTGCAGGAGAATCAGACCCTTGAACATTAAATGAAAGTAGTTTTCGGAAAACTCGTCATTTTTCTTTGTAAAGAGGGGCACCTCCAGAGCATGTTGTTAAAATCACTGCGATTGTGGCAGTCCGGATAAAGTTCTGAAATATCGGAGTAATGGTTATAGGTTACGAGGCCTGTAGGTTTAGGTGGCCGGGCCAAGGTGTCCCATCAGGGGGCATCAAGGACTTGCCTTGACGCCGCCTCACGGGCGTGCTGGGTCGCCCAGGTTTCAACGGATGAAGACTGCTGCCTGCCATTTAAAGTGCTGTGTAGCCGAAGCGATTGTGACCTCAATCCTCTATTATCCCCACGAAATTTACAATTTTCAATCACGAAACACATCAACTTTTAGATCTTCGTGTTATTTAAAAGCTGGGGTCAAAGTACCACCTAGAATACTGAGGTACATGTGAAAGTTCCCCATTAGTTGCGGTATTGCAGAAAAAGATTGCGTATCTCGATCATACTTAGGTCATGTATTTGTTCTATCAAGAAGAGGCAAGAGTTTTGCTGACACTGTTTCGCAGTAGTTGTAAACTCCACCCTTCTACGCATGCCCATTCCCTTCTGTTTTCGCATATATATGTACACCACTCCGCTTTAAATCATTGTTGAAAGCCAGCGCTCTTTTCTGTCCCCAATTCTTGCTTCTGTAGTTACATTGTAACTACATTTATGTGGCGCTGTTCATATATTCAGTGCTGCCAGAGATCAAAGCACGCTTTTTTGTACTTACGACTCTCAGCTTCAAAAACGCCTTTTCAATGTTAGTGCTATAAACAGAAATCGCAAGAAGACGCAGTCTACAGCGAGAAAGCACTGGCCACTGTACATTGTGAAGTCTCCAAAACGACAGGGGTTCAACAATGTTACACATTTTATTGCACTGACAGTTCGCAAAATCACTCAGAAGCCGGCTCAAGTCTTCAGTTTCAAGAAGCACTAATTGAGAAATAGGCGCATAGGTTTCGAATACGAAGGAAAGTTTGTGCCTCAGATTTGAGTTCACAATTTGAACACAGTATACAGAACCGATTGCTTGGTGTACTGGAGTTAATCGCACAGATCCCTCTTAGTTGTCAGTCTTTATTTTCGGCGGCAGCAGCGTAGTACCTGTTAAAGTCTGTGACGGTCGTTAAGCATTGACTCTCGTCATGGAGGTCCAACATGGGAAATCTGATGTGAATACCTCGGTTAGATACCTTCATTGACGGATGAGTGTGTGAAGACGAACTCCCAGAATCGGATAAACTTGGTGTACCAGGGTAGCCTCTGCCTCAGGTTCCACTATAATTCAAATGATGTCACACGCATTGGTCTTCGGAAACCTCATCTTAACTAGGAGAAAGTCGTGCATAGATTCAGGCGATGAAACCAGACACCTGATCTTCTCACACTTTGTCTCCTTGGCTTCGTTGCTTCTCAAGAAAGACAAAAATGGCACACCAGTAGTCAAAATATGTTCCAGAGCTTCAGGAAAAGAGAACCACCTCGAGCGACCTACGGGGTTTAGCGTTTACCTCATAATAAAAAGAATAGTTTATTGACACATGATGAAACACACGCCACACAGGCTACACTTAAGCGCCACACAGGTCTTGTCTTTTCTTGTTGCCTAGAAGATCTTGGCTTATACCCGCAAGCGGGATTGGCCCCACTATACCATATAATGTAATATATAGTGTATAATGTATAATGTATAATGTTTAGTGTCTCTCTCTGAATGTTGTCCTCTTCCTTCACTATATACAAAAAGGCACGTGCATTTCTAACATTCGGCCATCCTGCAACGCCGTCTCGAAAACTTGCTTCACTGATTCTACATAAAAATGTTCGGCCGTTCTATTCAACTGTTTACTATATGACACAGGTAGGAACAAGGTGAACAAAAAACGAGCAAATAGCACAAGAACATAGCTGACGCGTTAAGTTCTTCACGGCATGCAGAACTTCACCCGTTCGTACCGTAGTACCGTGAAACTTTCAAGGCAATGTCGTAGTCTATGGTCGTAGCTTCCGGCCATCTTTACTGGCTGGACTTTGAGGAAAGCCAAAGCGCGGACGATGCCCATGTCCTCTTGTTTAAACTGCGGCTCTGACGCTTGGTCAGGCTCGGGCTTCGAGTTTGGTTGGCCCATCTGTGGCGGTTATTTCTTCGGATTTGCTCTGGAGTTTCCAATGTTATTGATGTCGTCTGGTTCTGTTGACTTTCACTGCTTCGGCTCCCTAACATCGTTCGAATCGGTCCGGGACAGTTCGTTCAACATTATTGGAGTATGCTCTCTGGCACTTTTTCCCGATTCTTCCAGTAGATTGTCGTCCGCTTTGTCGTATTGGCTTGGCTTTCCTTTCGGCTTTTCCTCTTCTGCAACCTCGCCTTCCTCCTTCTTATCCTTAGATGTCGCCTTTTGTCCCTGGGCTATTTCTTCGTCATCTTCCTTTTTCTTTCTCTCTTCGCCACCCTTTTCCACTGTTTCTTTCGCCGTTTCTAGATTTTCCATCACTCTCTCCGCCTCTCTGTCTTTTCTTGCAGCAATGGGTTGAAAGTAAGTTTTTTCTTTGCCCTGGGCTTCCGCTTCGTCCTTGTCCTTTGGCTTTTCTATTGCTCCGGCAGATATCTTGGGCTTTAGATCTTCACCCTCCTTTGTTGTCAGTGTTTTACAATCTCCGGAGTTCTCGACCTGCGGTGGGGCTTGTTTAAAAAGTGGGTCTACGTGTATTTCAAGGGCCGCAACAGGCGCGATTTCTGATTTCTGTAAACACTGGGTGTCGCCTGCTTCCGCCGTGGCGCTTACGGTTGATAGTAAATGATGGCCTGTCGCAAAAACTCTGGAGCCATGGTGGACAAATGTACAACTGAAACGTACCTCGAAATCCTTTCACGATGTGATTTCGGAGTTCCTCGAACGATGCCACTCCCTGGCTCCTCCCACTAGTCGAGCCTTGGCAATTTCTAGCGTGTACGCAGCGGGTCACCCGTGAAGGTTAGACGTGCGACAAATATTCTCGATCTACTCGCGCACCAATCGAGCGTCCTCGGAACCGTCGAAGGCACTGATGTTGTGTCTAAAGTGAGTTATCACCTGGAACGTTGGCACTGGTTGAGGCTGTGCTGCGCCGGCCGAAATTAGTCGTTCCAGAAGGTTTGATATCTGTTCGTCCTTGAAGGGCTTGCTGCAGTTCAAGAGCCGTGGTGGTGCCTCCATTGTTGGAGACCGCGTCTCCACCGCCAGTAAGGTTGACTCTAGTCAGGTTGACTCTGACTTCTCGTTATGCTATTTGCAAATTTGCGCCTAAACTTCACATTTGGGAATATACTTACTAGGGCTTCGGATAGTTGCTTAAGCCACAAAAGCGCTTTTGATGCCATTTGTACTTACCTTCATGGAAATAAACGAACGAAGTTCATAGTTGCATGAGTATTGTTACTGCTGAAACAACTTACAATAAAAAGTATTTTTCTATCCAGGCTAACTTTTGTTCAAGATAACGAGTATGCTGGCTGATCTGAACGGGTGAAAAACAGTTATTGCACTTTTTTCAACATCCGTATGCTGTTTTCTTTTGGTAGTTGAAGTTAAATGCTTCAAAAGTACCCATGAATTATATAATAAATTTTTGGCCGATTCTCTAGAGTGGGTATAAGCCATGTATGAGGCATCATCATCATCATCATCACCTCGTGCGCTGACTGATGGGGCTCGTGAGGCAGAGCGAACGCTTTCTTGCGCTTTCGAATGTGGCATTTAGGCTAAGCGAGCTGCGCTGAGAATAACGGAAGCCACCTACGACCACCGTGGTTAAGCGTAGGCTCTGCGACAGAGAGTCCGTGTTCTTGGGAGATTCGCCTGCTCGAATGGCTGCTGCGCCGATGTCCCTGATTGCAAGTGCACATAAAGCCGAGGACCGATTTTGCGTGTCCATGATACTGGCTTTCGAGGTAGTCTTCATGGACAACCAGGACGTCATAGCCAAGCCGTGGATCCTGCCCAATGTACGCTGCTTGGACCATCGATGGCGACGATCCAGAGAGCCTCGTGCGACTTGCTCTTTGATGAAGAAGCCAAGGTCACCGTGTGCCATAGTGACCACGTGCTCAACGCAAGCAGCTTGCAGGGGATCCGACACCAGTTGGTGGTCCTACCATGGGGCATTGGAGGATCGCATATTTGCGGGTACAATTTTTCTACGTTGCTTGAATTTCCGGACACTCCTCGGGCTTCCTTTCACCTGTGTGCTGTTCGTTAAGCCACATTTATAAGTTACTTTATCTTTAAAAAGCTCTAAAAGGAGTACGAAAGGCGTACTTCGTGACGAGAAATGGCAGAGCACTAGATGTCGCAAGAACCGACGTTTCGATGACAGCGCAATGCCTCTTGTCGAAATGTTATTTGCAGTGACGTTCCCTGTACTTCAATATTTCTTCTATTCATGAGTCTACCTTCCTCTGATATTCTGTCTTTTTAAATCATATCAGGGCTGCTAAAACAAAAAATAAGGGACAGAAAGACTAGGACATTGCGCTTGTTCGTTTCGTCGCCTTGGTTGGGCTTATATATCACACTTTAGGTGATGTACAGTAATGACTACAGATAATCACCTCAGCGCCTTGTGTGGTTAATATAGCGGCAATAGCAGAGTGTCACGTATCAGTCGTCTGGGATCAGTTCGGCTGTAAATAATATTGAAAGCAGTGCTTGCACATGTAACAAGATATATAAAGAGGCCGACATGTCGCGATGTAATCTATCAGATAAAATAGGAGTACGCTGATTAGTCGCTCATTAAGATTGCTAGATGAAAATGAGAAAAAACAGAAGGCATTCGCATTTTGGTTGACATCACACAAGGAAGCACTGTTAATAATGCCAACTATGGGAAAACTCACGATATGTTTCAAAACCTAGTCTTATTTGAGAGTGAGCTGGTGCATGTACAGGGGGAAGGATAGAAACGCGAGAAGTACAGAGCGCTGCTTCATCTTTTACTATGTTGGCAAAAGAAAAAGCTACAGATTGGTTCTTGATTGCATTGTAGATGATTGTAGTGTCTTTTGCTGAAACAGCGGAAGCTGTAGATGCTGCGCTGCTCACATTTCTTTGAATCGCCACTCTACACTTGAGTTACAAGGGTACTTAAGCTTCTGCGTGGTGTGGCTATCTGGATATCCACCCCTGTAAGTAGGAAGTTTTAGAGAGTCCATTATGCGAAACTATAAAACAATGTTGAGAGGGAATATTATTTCAGTCATCAGTTTCGCCATGATAGCTTAATCATCGCAAGAGGAAATGAACGTGACTGTTTCATGTTTGAGCTTCTCGCCGGGGCTTTAGCAAGTTGTTAGTGTGACACCATGAATTTAGGTTTTTTTTGTATACTTAGGCCAAATTCGCCACAAGGATATGTTCAAGAACTTGCTATATTTAGACATAGTGTCCTTTAGAACAGATTGTAAATCCTTGTTTGCGACACACATGACTACACCGATTGAGTTGGATACTATTGAGAAGCCTTTGAGATGAAGGCGTATTGCAAAAACACTTGTATACTTAGATTCAAATGCCCGTAAACAACTTAGGCAACCGCAAGTGGTCAAAATCAGAGGGAATTCCGCTATACTTACTACAGGGAGCTCGGGAGCTGCGTTCGCTCAATTACTGTGGGAATGATGGGTTGTACAAGGATTTGTCTAGTCTTCGTGGTGGTGGCTTCGAGGGTGGCTAGATTCGATGTTGTTTTCATTGTAGTGTACACATAGTCAAGCCTTGAAGTGCCTAGCCGAACGTAATAATGACTTTGTTAAACTCGTAGAGATGAGATACCCTAGGCTGGCCAAACTCTTCGGTGATAGTCCAGGCTTGCATCGCTAGTGCTATCGGCCGACGTATTCTTTTAATTGGCTGCTGTGTCAGCAATAATGAAACATTGGCGGCGTTTGCTTTATTTTGACACACAACAGACGTACTCACAAGTTGCAGGTGAAGTACTCTCTGGTAATACCCCTGTCACACAGCCGCCACCAAACTGTGTAAAACTCCGTCAACTGAAATCTTCCCTAGGAAGTTCGACAGAGAGGGAATTGTGGCAGTGTCACACAGCACTGAGAAAGTTGCAATTGTTGCTGTTAGGGGGCCCACGTGGCGCAGTTTAAATTTCGCAGAAGTATCCCAATTTCATCCTAACTTTCTTTTTTTTGTGAATCTTCGTTATGCGGTTTTTACAAAAACACAATATTAAGTAGCTCTGAAACGAATGAAGCCTTAAAAATATTTCAAATCAAGGCACTTTCGCTAAATCTAGCGATGCTAGCAGTCATGCTGGCCACCTTGTGCCTAACGCTATGTTTGTTAACAATTGCGCCGTGCTCGACAAATCCTTGTACAAACGTTTTGCATTTCGTTCCCTCTTGAGCGCGCTCCAAGTTACCCTTGAATCTTGTCGGGATCCATTACCCATTCCTGCAGCCGTCGAAGCAGGTGATGATGATGCAGCGCTGTCAGTCATTACTTTCACAGGCAAACGCAAATGCGGTGACGACAGCAACCGCACGCATGGACGATATATTTTTAAATGGCGCCGGCTGGCCCGACTCGTGAGGCTCCGTGTAGAAGGCATCGGCGTGGAGAGTAGCTGCACTCCGGTGGGTTTATACATATGTAAATACACACACCTTATGAATAGTACTGCAACAAAACAACGTTTAATATTTTTAAGATGTATTATTGTTCCAACCGCGGCAATTTAGTCCTAAAATTTTCTTTTCTGACCTGCAGCTGCTGGGGACGAGAGTACTTCATTCCACAGCAAAAGGATTTTGTCGAACGTTCTTAGTGAAAGGCTCCGTTTATCTTCGTTTGCGTAAGGCTGCCCGTGTGACACGGACCGCATTTCCCTTGTCCTAAGGACAAGTGAGTTAAACGGTGCTCGCGGGAGCCCATGTGACAGGAGTATTAGTCAGTTACTTTAACTACCTACCACATAAGGAAAGTAGGCAGCAAGGAGATGTGGCTCAGTAAAGAATATTCTGCGAATAATACATAATTACGTAAGTTTAACACTACGCTTCATTTTTTACTATTCTTGGCACCGGACACCACGTCATGTGCACTTGTTCACAGAAAGCAGAATATTTTTGTTGAAATCGATTACCACAACTACCAAACATGTAAGCTACAGTGTATGGTTTGACCTAAAGAACTGGGTAGAGAAAGCATACGAAGGATCAAATGAGCACATACTTGATATGGGTAGTACACATCCTCTTTTATACGTGCGTAAAACAATAATAAACTCCAACCAATCTCAAATGTAGTCGTATTGCACGTAAAAGGTTATTCGCATTTCCAAATTTGACTACAGACTTGTGAAGTAAAAACAGCGCAAAAATATAGACAAGGACAGAGGAATAGACGATAACGCGCTGAACTCGCAACTAAACTTTATTGAAAGATACACGCAATATATATCAAACATTTACCCGGTCACGTGGAGAACCAAAGGCGTCTGCGCATCAAAGCAAACAAGGTATCAAACAAGCCTAATCATATTGATAACCAACATGTGCGTAACAACAAAAAAACAAAAAACGTCCCTTCCTACTTGCCAAAAACTTACGGAACGGTCCCCAACAAACTAACAATCACTTTTACCTGGCAGCGCTGAATCCATGTACCGAACTTCTTTTTCACCAAGTTCCACAGACGGCTTGCTTATACACCTTTCCCCTCCTTTTCAATGAAAAAAGCCTCCATCAACTTCCCTGATGCACTTATCTCGATGTCCAAACAAACAAGTGGCTTTATCTGCCAAAGGTTGGCAGCCACACTCCCTACAATGAGCTGACAGGTGCAACCCGCCGGCGGCCGTTAAAGAGGTTATAAGTGTTCTTTTTGTGTCATGTTAATGCGCCGCCTGGTTTCTCCTATGTAACCCCCCCCCCCCCCCCACCGCATGACAATGGCAACATGTATGCAACTCACGATGTACACGGAACATATCTATTTTTTCTCTTCTCCGGGCAGTACGAGAAGGTCTTTCGTAGACCCGAACTTCTTTTATGCACGCGGGAGCAAATGGAGGACAATTTCTTGGGAGCGGACATCACCATGCGTACCCCATACTTACTGGCCCCATTTTTCAAGCAATGTGAAAATTTGTGCACGTAGGGTACCACAACTGGTTTATTTTCATTGCGCACGCGCTCTGT